CTGAGGTTTTGCTCAAGACAGAACAAGCATGTGAAAAATTGGTGAAATGCAAGATTTCATTTACACAAGGTCAAAGTGACCCAGATTTCAAGTGAGGTCCAAAGTATTATTGGTCCTTCACACAAGAAAAGTTCTGTGCACAGCTCATTTAATATTTAAGAGGTTTGCATAAGAGTATGTAAAAGAGCATTTTCTTCTTGCTCTGCCAAGAAAGGTCAAATAACTGTTAATACTAGATAAACCTCGTGTGAGTTCTAGTCCCCAGAGTAACTTGGATTATGCCTAGTATTCTCAATACACAACAGTTTATTCAAGCAGGAAATCTATAGGAAGGGGCTACATCCACCACAGATCCAAGTTGTGCAGCTCTGTGGGCTCTGGTTGTGCCTGCTGAGGATTTGGGCTCACAATTTGCTAAGACAAGTGTAAGAGAACAGACAATTTATATTGACTATGAGACTGGTAAAAAGCTTGAGCATTCCACTTTAGCTGTGATGTAGCTCAAAAATAAAGGCAATTTTATTAAAAAGGAGTCCCATTTTGAGTTGAATGACCTTATGACAATATAAATCTATGTTGTTGTGGTGTTAATATCTCACTGACTCAGACCTAAACAACAAGCATTTGCATTGGTGAAAAAGTTACTGGCTTGAAAATTAATGATTAATTTTATATTAAGTTCAAGAGAATGAGAACAGTGAAGTCAATAGCTCTAGCAAACAGTATGGCTTCCATATCACATTTAATTACACATGAGTTCTTTAATATTATTATTTTTTTAAAAAGCATATTAAACCTCTCATAAATATTTTAGCAGCTACATAATGGACCAAGTTGTAATTTGCTGTAGGATTTTTTTTTCTTCATATTTTAACTCTGTCCTATCTGTTGACACGTCAATAGGCAGCTCAGGGACACAGACACTGGAGACACGTGGCCAGTATGAGATGAGCAGCATAACTGGTAACTGTGACAGGCAGAATCAGATTTGAGGTGATCTTTCTGTAGAGTGTTGCACTACATTGAAGCAGTTACTCACTTCTAGCGAGCAACTTTTAAGTGTTTGTCAGCTACTGCAATTGAAAGTGGAACACAAAAGTTGTGACAAGTGGTGATATTTTTCCTTTAAGTATTTCCATAAATTAGAGAGACAGAGTTGAGAAATCTTTAATGTAGAGGTCTTCTGGTATATATTGTTTATCTGCTGCCTTTCCTTGCGCTGGAGGTCGGAAAGTTTGAAATTCCAGCTCCTCAGAGGAAGGGCTGTATCATGTCTTGAGGACAGAATCCTCACTGGGGAGGGAGGGTCGCTGCCCCATTTCTGGCACACAAGAACCAAACTCTTCCCACCTGTTAATGCAAGGGCAGAAGAGACTCTGCTGCAGCACATTCCCAAGCTAACATCAGTGTGGCAAGGCCAGAAGCAGCCCTTGTACTCTGGGAGACTACAGGCTCAGCAGTGATACCTGTCTCTTCATCTGCTCAGTCACGTCATGGGCTTTCACTCACTGTAGCCTGCAGACAGGCCAGGAATTCTGCATCATTTGTCTGTAAATCCAGGGCTTGTCTTGCAACCACAAGCCATTGCATTATTTATAAAATACAGACTGCTCTCTGCTTCTTAAATACAACCCGTCCTAGCCTGAACATCTCTTTAAATTGAATATTGTCTTATGCACTTTGATTGTGTGTGGAAATATACTGCTTCAAGGTAAAAGGAGAGGAGTTGAATTATTATCCTGAAGGCTGTTTGTATACTTCCATGATCCACCCACTCATCTTACCTTGAGGACGATGTGAATTGCTTGGGCTGGTCAAGAACAGAGCACAGCAGTCAAGTGGTGACTGACAAGGTTGCCCCTCCTAAGTGCTGGCTCTGAGCTCTGATCTCTGAGCACTATTGATACTCGGCAGTGAAGCAGAACTGCTGACGTTCCTGCTGGGCTCCACACAGAAACCTGAACACCACCACTGCATTCACAAATTGGAGCCAGAGTTCAAGGAAGAAAATTTAAAGCAGGAATTTTCATCTTAAATGAAAGATGTTTTCGCTCTGGCTTCTATTCAGTACCATACTCAAACTTTAACCTAACTTTAAACATTGCACCTAACTTTAAACTTTAAAACCCTATTGTGTACAGGAAGGCTAGAAGTTGGCTGTGTAATTGAACTTAGCTTGCTGAACTTAGGCCTATATCAAGAGAGAAACCTCTAAAGCACTTCTCTTTATTAAAAGTATATTTCTACCGAGAGCTGATATGTTCCAGATATGGCAGCAGACCACATTTCTTTACAGTTACCTCATGGTCTCAACCGTCCTAATGGCATTGTAAACCACTGGTCATCAAACCAGATTTAAAGTGTGTGCATATAGAAAACTCCATTACAAAGAGAACTGTCACAACTGGCCTGGTCATTCTTACTTTATTACAGAAGAAAACCAAACATGTATGCATGTGTACCCACATATCTGTATGCATTTCATTTTTAAAAAACAAATCCCTGGCCCTTGGAAAATAATTACCTTCCCATGTATTTCAGCAGGGCAAGATTTCTCATATTTCTCATCAGGAGCATGAACTCTTACCTGATTTCCCTCTGAATGTGGTTTAAACTTTACCCAGTTCTTTTTTCCCCCCTACTTCTTGTTTTATAAACATGAAAACATAATTAATTAACTGTGATTATAAGAAGAAAAACTTCACATTTATATGGGCATGGTTTTTCACCTTCATCGACTGGAAATGTGTCTTTATAAGTTTTAGAACTCTAGTAGAGTATTAGCTATAAATAACTTTTTTCATGAAGCCTCTGAGGTACACTTGAAACTAAAAGTAATAATAAATAATATACAAAAATAAATTTAAATTAGGTGTGCTTAAGAAAAAAAAATAAAGAGAAGGGAAATATGCTAAAGGTGAGTAAAGGTGAGTGTTAAAAATAATGCTGCTCTTAGAACTTGCTTGTGAGAGTAATAACAGCACAGAACAAGGCACAGATGGGCACGTGGTGGGCACATCTCTGTAAGGATTCTCACCACTGCCATATGTTGCTGCTGCTGATAGAAAAGGGAGAAAATCAGAGGTGGAGGAACCACAGACTGTAATTTAATGCAATGCTTTAAAAGAAACTGGTTGGGATAGATTCTTAGCCACTGAGCTCACATGCTATTTGTGACCTTTGTGTAAATTTTCCTGCTTTTCCACTGAATACTCTTCCCAACAACATGAGGTGTATGTGGAGTAGGAGTGGATGGCTGAGCCAAGTTCATTGGAAATGGGGTAATAAAGAAAAAAATATTATACCTGGGTAGGTACAATGGAAGAAGAAATCAGCACTGGAAGGATTTTCCTGTAAAGGAGATACTGTCAAAGTGTTAACCATCACTGGAAACTCATCCTTTATCTCTAGTCCTGGTTTTCAAAGGCAAAGTACCATCTTATGTAGGACACCTCTGTATGTCATCTGTGTGGCATGAAGGTGGATATATGGAAATAATGCTGAAAAGCCCTCGACAGGCAAATCCTTAGACCTTTTGAAAGCTCTAGTTTAGATGTGGGCAGGGAGATGTCCCTTTGCTGCCTCAACCCTCTGAAGTCACGTTCTGACTCCAGGGTGGACAAATCACCACTGCCAGCTGCTAAATTAATTGAACCAAAACTTGAGGGAGAGGGACCCACACTTTGCCCATTCCACATACATGAAAGTTTGGGAAACAGGGTAGAGGGAGGAAGGGGGAGGCTTCCTGATCTGCCAACTAGACCACTCTGTGAACACTCTCAAACAACACACCTTCAAATCCTTGTCTAGACATGGCCTTATGCAAGTGAGAGATAAGAATCAGCCCCTGAATGGGTGTTCTGTTATATAACCACCCATGAGGCATGGAGAGTTAAACATTTGCACTAGTTTGTAACATTCCTAAAGCATTACATTTTCAGCAAAGTGGATTATCTTGTCTCATTTTTCTCTGATGAGCAATCAACTTCGATCTTGACACATGAATTTATTATGCTTGGGTTAGACAAACTGAGCCTTAATAAGCTGCAGTTAAAAACCACACTTTGTGTTTGTGGAGAGAAAACTCAGCTCTTTGGTTGCCTGACAGGGGTATGAAAACAAAATCAGGCTTCTCTACCCTTGTCCAGCTCAGGTTGGATGTCTATATACCAAAGATGTGATTTTTTTTTTATAGGTTTTGCTAGATATTTGATTGCTTTGTTGGAACAGTTCCACAGTAGCTGACTGAGCTGACCTCCAGATGTATCTCCTCCGGGGCATTATGTTCTGTTTCGCATTATCAGCTGCATGCTCCAAAGGTTAGGTTGTGAGAGCTTGGGTGGGGCTTTTAACTCCTTCTTCCATCCCAGCAATCCTGATGTGCCTGTTCTCCCATGGTTAATTCTACCCAACAGGAGAAGAAACACAGTACAGACTCAGCTTGATTTAATAATTGCAGTCATGATTTATGTGCAATGGTGTCACTTCACCGAGCATCGATTTGATAGATAACGGAAAGCATGTGCCTGGCTTATTTGGGAAGTTTATTTGACACTACAGATTCCTGAAGGAATGTGCAGAAACTCCTAAATATATGGAACAAACTCACCAGGTGTAAATCAGGTGTCTGAATTGACAAGAGCAGTAATGGGTAAGGCAGTAATTAGTATGCATAACTATTTCAAGGTGAGTAAAGTAATACAGTTCCAGCACCCAGAGTGTCATTGATTTACGCCAGCTGAGGATATGGCCCGTAGAACTGACAAGAAATGGCTATGCCTACTAATTACTGAAGCTGCTAGTGTATTTCAGCTGGTACTAACTGGTTTTATGTCACTGGAAAATTACAGAAGTGCTAGCCCTTGCAGATCAGACACTAACATGTTTGTGCAGTTTTTTCGGTTAAATGTCCAGAAAAGTGAGGTTGAATTTTGTGTGGTGAGCGTTCTTGTTAACATTAAACCTTGCTTGACACACTGATCAGACTTCTCACTAACTTGGGCATCCTCCTTACAGTTTGCACTGTCTTCTTCCCAGATTGAGGCAGGATGAAAAGCTGATTTTTTGGTTAGCCTTCTGGCATAGTGTGGTGATGCATTTAGGGTGCTTTTGACGCTTTTACAATTTCAGGTGGTCACTCAGAAAGAAGCAGCTGGTGAGCACAGAAAACTTCCATACTTGGAATTTGCTGTGGTTTGTAAGTAGCAAGAGCTGAAAACGTGTGGGAAGTGCTTTAGACTCAATGGGCTCACACAGTTTCTAATTTATGTAGAGGGTATTGAGGGTTATACTGCATGCCATATTTTGTCCTGTCAGATTTATGTCTCGGATCACTTCAGTCACAGGTATGTCTTTCCAGGGATTCAAATCATCACTGAAGGTAAAAGCCCTCACAGACATGAGGACACCAAAGTCCTTCAGAGCATGGCCATAGGGTGAGTGAGCATTCTTTCCCAGCTTCTGTTTTGTTCAATTCAAGGCCTGTGATGTCTTGAAATGCAGGAGTGGGTTTTTTTATTCCTAGATAAAGTCTCTTTAGAATGTCATTGGTAACTGTTGGTATAATTGCCAGTGGGACTTGACCATACAAGAATATTTAGAAGGATTTTTAAGACTGAGGTGTCTGCCCTGGCTTTACTCTGCTACCACTAACACAATAACAGTGAAACTCCCTGGAAATGTTCAGCTCTAACTAATATATTTTTCATATAACGTTGTGCTCAGAATATACAATATTGTGGGAAATAACTAAACCTTTGTTGCTACTTCCCTGTGAGGAAGTTTTATTTGTAGTTTTGGACTTGAAGACAAACAAGTGAGCCCAGGACTGTTCATGTTCACAGAGTAACTTTTATTTATATAGTCAGTAACTCTGGAAAACAGATGGTTACAGAAACATGGGGACAACTCTTCACCTTCCATTCCCAGTTCAGCTCTGGTGGATAAAACCACATTAACTCTAAAGCTCAGTGTAGTGCTTGTGATAAGAATTACACAGGGAAATTACCCTTAAAGAGATAAAGAGTTAAAAATCTAACAATTTCTATTCTCAAGCCTAAAATTCCTGTCCACAAGGTAACAACAGGAAATAAAAGGAAAAAAAACCACCTCTGCACCTTCTTGTGACCTGTGATAGAAAAATATAAATGAAGAGATGAGCTAATAAGGTTGTGATATTTTCTTGCTTTCACAGTCTAAACCAAAATCTAATATTAATTGTCACAAGTATCTCTGTGCTAATATTGCCTTTCCTTTCAATTGACAGGCTTCGTTGTGCTATAACGTTAATCCATTTTGACAGTACAGACAGGATATCTTCATAAAAAACAGATCTTAACAAGACTTTCTGTTGACCTTTACCACACAGCTAATTTTTTTTTCATAATTTACCTTGATTATCCTCACTTCAGCTATGAAGAGCCACTTTAGCAAAAAATTCAACTAAAACAAAAAAGTGGCCAATAAAAGTTATCTCAGATTCAAGAGGCATCTTGATCAGATGTTTTGAATTTTAAAATACTAAGTTTGTTGCAGTTTACTTGTCTTAGCATTATTCAATATTGTTGTGCATGCTTTTACTAACACAACTGCTAATAATAATCATTATGAAAGAAAAAAAAAGTATTATTTGGTATGAAGCCAGATTTCTTTTTTTATGCATTTTTCTTTCTCTCTTGGAGTTGTTTAACCACAGGATTGGCTCTGGCAACATTTAAGTACCCAAACTTTAAATAAGAGATCTTTTTGCTATTGCAGTCTTCCATTAGGTCTCTTACATTTTTTGTACTCATACATAGAAAATAAATATATTAAGCCTGGTTCCTCATTGCCTGCTCATAGTGAGTAGTCATTTTGCCTGTGCAAGAAAAACACAACATGAAAGGGAAAAAAAATCAGATTGGTAGCACAATGGATTTGTTTTGAACTTACCACAATAATTACACAAGGTGGTGAGTGATGAAGAATCTAGCTCATTATTGCTAAGAAACAGCTATCTTTTAGCTAGCACTCCATATCATAGATATAAAGGCCCTGCTTTATTACAGTGATTATTATTAGTCCTGTTGCCAATCCAAAGATCATATTTGATTGTCCCAAGTACAGCAGAATACTAATCTATTTCCCTTCTTCATTCTTCCTCTATGCTTGTATAGACAGGTACATTAATCTATTCTGCCAGGAGCGATCTTTTTATCTGTGCAGAACTAAAATGATTCTTCCCTCTTATCAGCATCTTCCTATATGCAGAAGATAAACCAAAAATGTTTCCTCACCCCACGTTTTTGTCAGTTCTCTGCTTGAAGAGATGCTTGGTGATCAGATCATTTTTAATTGCATACTGAGCAACAAATATCTGACGTTTGTATTTGAGTGACTAAGAACTAAATTTTGTTGACAATATTAATATGCTCTTCTTTTAATGTCTATCAATTCTTAGGAGTTTAATCAGATGAACACTTTGCTGAGGACTCACAGGAATACCTCATTCTGACAATACTCAGTGTTTGTCATTCACCAGATAACACCAAGCTAAACACCTTCACCCAAAAGATCCTGCATGTATCACATCCCAGTGTACCCTGGGATGGAAAATAGCAGTGCAAATACACCCAGTTCTTAGCAAAGAGGTTTCAAAAGATGGGATGATCCAACCAAACAGCTTGCTGTCAAGAAAAAAGGGCAGTCCCACTCATCCCCTTCTCTTTCCTCAGGCACTGCTCTTATCTCCTGTAAAACAGGCTAAGCACAGTGAAATGGCCAAATGAATCATCTTCTGGAGGCCTAGTGGCTTCATGGGAGGAATTTCACCCTCATCCCTTTGGAAGGAAGGATCAAGCCTGTAGGGCCACTCTGAAGTAATTTATCTGTGGAAGGAAGAATCGAAACTTACATGATCCTCAGCTTGGCTGGAGGGACAGGTTTTCGTGCAAGATTTTCATGAAATTGGAAGCAGTCTAAAATTTTCATTTGACAGTGTTTGGCTGTTTAATTGATTTTTTGAGAGTTACCTAGGGCTCTAACTAAAAGAGAGAGAAATGAATGAAGAGGATCTTATCTGCTTGTCTGTCCATGAGTTGTCTGATGAAAAGATGAGAGGTGTGACCCAAGTGCATTTTTGGGTGACGTGTTAAAGCAAAGTTCTGACCACCTTGCTCATTAAAAATCCCACTGCAGTAATTATGTTTGTAGTGTGTGTTAACTCTGATGGCCTCAACTTGTAAAGCAAGGGGGTATTTCATAAGATGAAAGGTAGTATAAAAATGTAAACTACTAATAACTTTGAGCTGGCTTACTGCAATACAAAATTTGGCCAGTGGCAAAAAGTAGTCAGCTGAGGGAGAGTTGAGTGGCTCCATTAACCATTGATGTGCAACATTTCTCCCAGCATGTTTAGTGTAACAAATGCATAAGTTTGACCTAGAAACCAGATCTTTATGTATATCATGGTACTGGCTTGGCTTTCTTTTTGGCTTGGCTTGGCTGAATCTGAGGTCGGATTCTCATCAGATTTCTTATGCTGCAAGCCGTTACAAGTTCTGCTTGAGAGACACTTGTGTTAAGAACGAGAAAGTGTTAGTACTTGGGCTTTTTGTACGTGCTTGCTTGCCTGTGTGGGCTTAAAGCAGGAGAGTAATTTCATAAAGGATATAAACAAGCCATCTGTGTTAAAGTTCTCCCCTGTCTGATGCTAACACTGTGTGCTTAGAGAGAGAACATAAGAGGAGGGCACACCTGTAGCAGTATTTCCCCTGGTAGTATCTCCTCAGATTCTCCCTCTACAGGGCTGTACACAAAGAAACAATGCACAGGACTGTGGTGTGAAGAAATGATATACAGATGTAGCTGATGCTGAAAATGCAATTTGCATAATATGGTAATATATGCATTATAGTTCCAACTACATACATGATCAAAGCATCCATTGTAAATGATAATGCAAATTAATTTTAGGCTCATTATTATTAATTGAACCTGAATAGAAATCAGATTCAGTAAAAATAGAATAAAGAAACAAAGTGAAACTATTTAGGGAAACAGACATTAACGTGATTATTCTCTCTCACTTAGAGTTAGGCACATGCTCCTTCTGCCTTCTCTGGTATCGTTTCAGATAGAAATTCTCCTTTATTCTGCAGTTCGTTCTCTTGGTTTCTCTTTTGATGTTCATGTCACTCTCTCAGCACACTTTCTTAAATGTATTATTAAGGTCTGCATGGTCTAATAGGTTGCCATTACCCTAAGCTTTATTCGTTCCTTTTTCAAATTAAATCAAGTTTGGGCTTGAATAATGTTGATAGGGACATTTGCGTAAACTAAGTTTGTTACTCCAGTAATGGGGTTGTTTTTGTGAATTAATAGGTCATTTGTTTTTAAAAACAGAACACCAGCGTGTTCCTGATGTTCCTGCCCCTTCTAATAACCCTGTAATGGTGATCTTTTGTCCTGTTGTAATGGTTTCTAGTTTCTGCAGTGCCTGGAGATAAGAGAAGGATAAAACTCTAGGACCTAACCATTACCCAGTACTGAAGTTCCTGTCCTAGAGTGGGCTTAAAATCATTTAATCATGTAATGTAATTAAATCCTGATTTTTGCTAAATATTTACATATGGTTAGACTACATTTTCTTTCCTAGACCATACTAAATGTGATGCTCACTGACTACAAAATTATTTAGCATTGATAGCTCTCAACTGTAAGAAGTGCATGGTTAGTTTCCTGAGAATTAAAGCCATGATTAAGGTATGAGCATCTTTTATCACTGTGAATATTTGAACTTCATCATAAACATACTTTCAGCATAGGATAATGCAGTGGGCAAAGACTGCACGTAGTTGTAGATGCAAAACAATATTAAATATTTTTTCCAAATTGAGGAAGCTAAAGAGGACAGATAAAGTTTGTGATCTCATTTCTAGGAACTTTCATCTGTCTCTCCTTAGTAAGAACTTAAAAACTTAATTCTGGCATGTTAAAGGAAATGACATTTTAAGTAATAATTAATCTTACTCTTTTCCTTATTACAGATGTTGTGATTTATTTATAAGAGGCATTGTAAGAAATGTTAGTGAAACAGCATCTTTTCTTTTTGTTTTGGTTCATACTATATTGATATATATAATTGCCATGACATTATGGCACACAGCTTATTATCTTTTTATCACAGGATGTATTAATTAAAACCCAATCACTTTCTGAAAATAATTTTGGAAAATGTGTTGAGCAGAGTTGTATTTATATTGCAGTGGCTACCTCTGAACCAACAGGGCCAATATAAATGTATTATATATATTTTTATATAGAGAGAGTGTGTGTACATGTATATACATATATGTATATATACTCTGACTCATTATTGCCTACATCACCTACAGAGAGAAAAGGCAGAATTAAAAACTGGAAGGCTAAAGGGAGGTGTTTTGTCCCTGTCCCTTTATGGCTACTCACACTTTTACCCTGCTGTATTTCAGATGTTCTCACCCTGTCTCCTTCAAGAGAGATACATGCAAGGAAAAGCTGAGATACTTTTCCCATTGTCCAACATACAAAAGGTTTTGCTGGGGAAGTCCTGGTTACCAAATGTGTCTGCAGAATGTGCAGACACTAACAGCAGTAGAGCATGGCCAAAAGCTTGGCTTTGTCACCTTTGTTCATGATAAATGACATTTTACTTCATGTGCACTCACTAAAGTCAGCAGGGCTCGAAGCAGAGTATGCAGATATTGATTTTGAATCCTGCACCAGAATCTCTCACTCTTCCCAAATTCCACCTTTCAGAAATGCTCGTCACCATTTCAACAGCTCTAAAACTGGATGTTGCAGGTGTCTCACACTGACAGCTGCAATTTTACTGATGCTGTGCAGCACAGGATATCCACTCTCATTACGTTTCAAGACACAGGAAATGCAACTCAGTATCTGAATGCATAAGAAGGAAGGAACCTTTTAAAGTTCAAGGTAAGTGCCATGATTTTTAAGTTGCTGGAGGAGGAGAAGAGAGCATTTAATGGATCCTTTACTTAATTCTTAAACTTGCTTTTCATTTTTAATGTTTCCTACAGGATTCAAGAAGCCTGTTGACAGCAATACACACTGGTATATAAAAATCTATTACAGACTTTAATACTTACATGTGCTGGCTTCCAAGCCCCCAAAAGCCCCCACTGAGGAGGTTCACAAATGGGAAGTGAAGAATAACAGGCACTTGAATCCTTATTGTGAAGACTAACTGAAGAGAAGTATGCAAAACATAAGGTGCTACACAGAAACCTTTGAATCAGAATGGGTAGCTACACAAATAATAAACAAAATAAAAATATCTTGAGAAATACGCATGTGTTCACTGCACTCAAAATTAGTCTGTTGCATTGTTTCCTGCAGCCATAATTTGTGTCAGATGTTCAGCAGGATTCAAAATCTGACAAAATATTAATGTGGACAACAGGAAACTCCCAAGGTATAAACCCAGGGTTCCTAAAAATCCTACTGGAGAGGTTATACCTTCCTACATAGTAAGGCATAAGGCAAATCCTTATTATCAAGAAGCAAGAAGGAGAATTTCCTCAAGAATATATGTTTATTTCTTCCTTAGTTCCTTACACTTTCTCTAAACTTCTGCTCACTTAACAGACCACTGCTGGAAGTTGTGGTCTCTTGTGGTCTGATCCAACATGGTCATTCCTACAGCTCTAATCAGAATGGATATTCAATAAATAAATAAGTCTTGTGACATGTAAAAGGAGGAAAGGGACAAAGCATTCCAGGCCAAGGTCAGAAAGTCCCTATGAGCTCTATTCTACATTACTCATTGTATTTTCTATTTTCACATGGCTTATTCTTGCAGACTTTGGGGCTTTCCATTTAATGGGGTTTTTTTCCAGATATTGACAATAGGTGTTTTGCCTTAGATGGCAAGCATGACAAACTGCAAAGTCATGTCCTAGACAATCTGGTATGTGCTCATATCCTGGTATGATCTCATTTTAAGGAATGTGATTTTGATTTTCAGCATTACAAGCTGAAATCAAGATTTGGTTGTATCTGCTATATACCATGTGAAATACTGTCTCTCTCTGAATTAATGCTCATGTCAGTACATCTTCATAGCCAGTGCTGGGAAACATCACCAATTACTGTGGCTGTTTACAGAGCACAAGAACAGAATATTCAATTTTACCAGCCTCTAAGGACAGCAAAGCTGAATTTGAACTCTAGTTAAAGTTTTGCTGATTACTCCTGACCTTTCTGGGACAAAGACATGAAGGTCACTGGAGTCATGACTTTTTTTCATATTCTGCTTGTCTTTGTCATTCCTCTAATAACACAGAGGACTAGAAACAAAAGCTGGGTGGTGTTTTCTTCCCCCTGCCTGGAAATCTATTTAGATTAGTCACCAGGTTTTCCAGTCTACAGTCATTGAAGGTCATTTGGTTTACAGCTGAAATTCTCAATTGGAACCTCATCTTGTTATCAGAACTTAAAACCCAAGTGAGGTTTTGTATCTCCTCTGGAAGGGTAGGTTGTTGTGTGATTAGCTTCAGAATGTTAAATGGACTGTCTGTGTAATGATGGGTAATTTTGGGGGGCTTAAATTGCTCTGTGAGAAGACCTGTCTTGAATAATAATACTGGGCTATATTACAAAGAACAGCATTCTAGGCTTCTCCTAAATGCTAATTCTATTACACATTAACATTTCCTTTGCTGTAAAATGGCAAAAGGCAAGCCAGCAAGATGTAAAAATCTTGCAAAGTGCATTTTCACTTATAGACTGTTCCTAAGAGCAGGCCGTTTCCTGAAAATGTCCCTTAAATAAGCATCCACTTACAGTGGTCATCATCCTACAGTCAGCATCTGCTAATAGCTGTTCCACAGCCTTGGCTGCTGGCAAACAAAGAGTATTTGTTGTAATCTAGAGTGATGAAAGTGCCTGTGTAATTTTTGCACCCTTTTTTAAAAAAACTATTCTTGGCTCTAAGTATGAAGTATCAGTCACACAATGTAGATGTATTCCTAGGGGCTGTTGTTCACAAAGCCTGGTGTCCTGTACATTTCTTGGTCCTGCAAGACTCCTGGTGAGAATATTTTAATTTTTTTTCTTGGTTGATTGATTGATTGATTAATTATTTTAATGTCTTTTTGGTCCATGTGCAAGTCAAACACAAATATTTACATTTATATGTATGTGTGTACATATAAGTAATTTAAACAGAAGGCTCCTTGAAGAAAACCATCTACCCCTGCCATACTGTTATTGAGGATAGTATTTAGCTTTTTTAGGAGAAACAATTTTGGCCAACATCTCCTGATATACAAGCCGACCTTTGATTTCTTCATTTTTATTGCACTTTAGGTTCCCCGCTTCAGGGACTAATCCATGGATGGCTTCAGCATGTTCCATCTCCCTGTTTGCCCCAGTTGCTGCCTCCCTTTCTGTGTTTCCATTTGACTTCCATGCTTGGACACAAGCAGGAGGCTATCCTGTGGAGGAATTGGTGTCAGACACTGCCCTGAGCAGGGACAGCTTGATGAGTGTCCCCATCACCCCACCGCCCCCCAGCATCACACCATGACCTGTGATGTCAGCTCGCTGCTTGTTCCAGCAGGCATTATTGGCACTCTTACCGGCAAGCCAGGCATTTCCAGAACATCTCTGTGGGCAGATCCCACATCTTGGCTCCATTCTTTAAGGAGTCTGAATCATCACCCTTTGGACACACCTTCTTGATTCCTCTCTGGGATTGCAGGAGCTGACATCACCTAGCTCTTAATCTCTTCTCCAGATGCACTAAACTCTAATGCCAGATTACCTTTCTCCTTTATCTTCTTTAGCCCTTCTACAAACAGAGCTCCTTTTAAGTGATTACTTTTATATATTCACTTTACACGGATTAAAAAAAGTTCCATGGATTTCAGAATAGTTCTCTCCAATAGATTCCAGCTCAGCAAGTACACCAACTTCCCAGAGGTTGCATACACCACAAACATGAATGCACCCCTACTCTGCATGGTTTTTAATATACTGGCATCTAAATTATGCTGCTGTTGCTTCGCATCTCTCTGATGCAAAGATGATGGAAAACTGGCTATCTGGAAAAAAACCCAGCCACATAAGGAATCAATACGATTCAGAGCTGTCTGTGTTTTCCAGTTGTCATTAGTTAAACAAGATCCTGACCACTTTGGAGAACAAAAGGCAGCAAAGTCATTAAACAATTTTCTTTCACTCAAATTCATTTCATGAGTCAGATACATCCCAGGGATCTGGGCCTATATTTCTAAAGAAGGTTATTTTGCTGAGGCCCAGCTGACTTTTCCAGCTAGCTTCCTTTCTCTGCAGCTGAGATCTCAGAAGAAATGGAAATCAGTTTAACTCATGGAAAAAGGGCACTTTTTAATATGACCCATAAGCCTCTTGCCTCTCTCAGGCTGGCAACCAAATTACCAGCATCCTGGAGAATGCGTTTACTTTTTGATGAAGTACAGACCTTAAAAAGCTAAGCTGGATACAAGGTTCATGACAGACAGCAAAGTCTTTTGCACACAGAAACATGCAGCTGCAGAATGGGCCTGCTAACAATGAATTTCAGGAAGGTTATGGTTTGAGATATTTTACTTTTTAATAGGCCATGGAGTCTCCTGGATCTATGTGGACACTACACTGGCTCCAGGGGTCACGTCTTCATCAGTAGTGTAGGTAGCTGTGTGCTCCCTTCTAGCACACAGTTTAGTTGATGTTCCTGAACCTAATGAATTTTGGCAGCAGGAATGATAATAGCAGACAATTGTTTGTCTCCAGTCACTAAATTTTGTTAGAGAGTTAAAATAAACCTGTCTGCTTGATAGTCTCATGTGCAACAAAACAAAAATAAGCCTTCACAAAGAATCATTTTCAAGCGCCATTTTACTTTTTGTATTAGGCTCACAAATGCCTTTCATGTTTTCTGATATGTCAGATATCATAATGCAAAATAAATAACCAAGTGAAACACACAGACATTCTCTGGGTGGCTTGTGATGCAGAAAAAAGAGCCTTCTGCCGCTTCTCTTTCCTCCTTCTCCTTCATTGTTTGTTTGGTTTTGTTTTTTTTTGTTTCTAAGGCTTGCAATAGATGCTTCTTTGTAGCATGGGCATGAAACACTAATGTTATTTTAATACTGTACCATTTTTCAGCATTTTGGAGCCCAGTCACAGCTCAGGAGCCCCTGTGAGTTAGACATCATGCAGACAGAACAAAGTCAACCCTGACTCTGAGGACAGCCCATCCCACACTGCGCCTCCCATGGCCACAGGAGACTCACATTGTAAATGTGGATGCGTTCAACACATCTGCCACACATGCAGATCATGGAGACAGTGACGCTGCCTGGGACACTGGGGGGTTGGCAGAAAAGCCTATTGGTTGCTATACACATCATTCAGATGAAACCATTTTTACTAAAAAGCTTAAAGCTGGCGTTTGTCATGTGAATTCAGCTTTGGAGGATCATGAGAGTGGAGCAGGACTTGTTAGATCAAACATTTACAAGTCCCCCAGTCATGTAAGAAGTCAGAACCTTCAGAATTTCACTTCAATTTCAGAAGTGAATTGGAATTTAATTTCAAGGAACAAAGAACTTAGGACAATTTTGAAGGAGGGAAAAGTTCCCATTTCACTTTTCAAAATATTACCTCTTTTGTTTAAAAACACTCTCTCACATACAGACCCACTCCTGACACTCCAGAACAGACTGAAAACAGCAATAACTCTCTGCTGATTAGACCAGCACAGTGCCTGCCCACTAGCAATAGCCAGAGAAGAAAATTCCCTGTTATGGTCCTGCAACGGGACCTTTTTTACTTTGTCAGTAAGAGAATCACAACCAAATTTTACTGGAGCAAAATTTAACTAAAAACTAAAACCTTGCCCTCTTCTGGTCTCCATCTCCAGCATTGTTGCTTGACTTCACACTGAAGCCATCAAATAAAACTTCAAAATGGCATAGGACCAGTTACCTACCATTTAGCATCAGTTTGCATTTTTTCCACAAAAGCAAACCTGCTTCTGCTAGAAACAGCTACAGGCATTTGACTCATTAAATTTTTGTTTGAATAAATGCTTTATTCAAATCAAAATAAACTGTTATTTCTAAGTTGTCCCTCAAAAAAAATCTATTAAAGCTCTTCCCAAAAACAAAGCAGAATTTCTATCTTTTAAAATAGGAATCATAACTAAAGACTGTTATTTTCTTTTTCTACGCAGTTATTTGGGCAATTAAATATATTTAGATTTTTTTTTTTCTCCTAGAATCTCATAATTGTGTCCCTCAAAATAATAAA